AAAAAAAAAAGAAAAAGGAAAGTTTAACAAGTGAACCATAAGTGGAGGAAGAGAGAAGACGACAAAACCAATCGAGTGATGCGAAGGCAACGCCACCTCCCATGGGTAGGGTTGATGCCCAGCCATTTCCTGAGCAAAAGATGGCTAACCCATGCCTAAAACTGCCACTTTTAATTGCTAAGGATAGTGTTATACGGTATGGAATATCTCTTTGGTTAGTTCAGGTCATCTGCTCAGTTGTATCCCCTTCCAACCTACTGCTCACCTCCCCAGTCTATTCATTTGAGGGGCTGGGAGAGAAACCGGGGCGACCTTGATGGTGTGCAAAACTGTTCAGGAGCTAGAACATCACCAGTGTTTGGGTCAAGAATCTAAACCACAGTACCACATGAGATGCTATGAAGAAAATTAACTCTCTACTAGCTGGGCCCAGTACAAATTTTGTCTAGGAGCAGCAGCACTTGACTGTGAAAAAGTCAACTCTGGTTATAGTGAAGTAATTGGTAAGCAAGTGTCTGAATTATATGCAAATAAACTTGAGGAAGAGGACAAAAACGCTGCAACAGAATTTGGGCTACTCAGTGTCTTAGCTCTCCATTAGCAGTTTTAAGTTGTCCCTTTTTTCATGTACTGCTGAAATAAGTCTGTATTTCAGTAAGCTAGTTTTCACACTAGTGAGTGCAGAAATCTCACAGATTTGCATGACCTTTCCTGTATTATCACAGCCTGGTGGTCAGGAAGAAGAGAGATGGAAGAAAATTGTGGATTAGTTCATGTGAAAATAACTGCTGCGTTTGCAGAAATTCTATTACACAGCCATGCTCTGTATTATTGGGTGTGCAAGTCTCTGAGGATACATATAGCTATTTTCAGTTGCACGTAGTGTACTAACAGTATATGAAAAAGCAGTTGGCTGGAAAATGTTAGTGAAGAACAATGAATTCTAGAGCTTTTTTATTAACCCTCGTGGGCTGTTTTTTCTAGTGCTTACACAGACACTTGACTAGGCGGGGCAGGTTCAGGCCTTTAATCATGAATGCAGCCAGTTACTGAGACTGAAAATCACAGAGGTCTCGGGGCTAACTGCACGACCAGGAGTCTTTCAGGTATTACAAAATTGACGACAGTAACAATCAATTGTATTTGTTAGATCAGGTATGAAGCAGCATAGCATGCATGGAATCTGAATCATCCATTTCCATGAAATGTACTGGCTTTCAAAAAAACAGATGAATCAGTCAGCAACCATTGCAGAAAATACCTTCTTCCTTTCCTGGGTGTTCGATTTTATACATGCAAATAAAGAGACCTTCTCTTTAAAAAGGATTTTATAGTGTTACATCTTGTTGCGTAGAACCTTTAGTGTAATCCTATGAAATGTAAATCATTGGATTCAGAAAGGAAAACAAAGGAAAAACAAGCTGTGAGCAAAGAAAAATCTAGTGGTAAGCAATGTGTATCCTACCTACAGATTGCAGGTATACTGGCTCTGCTAGCCAACTGCTTAGATTCATAGCAGGTTGACAGTTTCATGCTAGACAGGCACATTTTTCCTTTTAACCATATTTCTTTTCTTATTTTGCACTCCTTCCCCATATGCCACAGCAAAATTATATTCTGAGTCTCTTCCTCTCTGTGTGACATCTTCATTGCTGCTTCATTAACCAGTGCACCATCAGTGCATTTCATTATAGCCTCTCTCCTGGCTCACTGTGTTGATGCTAAAATGCAGCTACAAACTTGCTATCAAAATGCTAGTCTGTGTTTTAATCCTCCCAGTCAAAAGAGGAGGAAGTAATCTCTCTGGCAAAATGCTAAATATAACCCATATTTTATCTATTACCATTACTGGCCCCCCTGAAATGCACTGGGGAGGTATAGTTTGGGCTATGACAGATTTATTTACCTATTTGTTTGCTGTAAAATGCTGGGGGCGTACCTCCTATCTGATCCATGTATTAAGACAATTTAGACTGATTTTATGTACGTGCATTCAACTGACCTTGAAAAAGTATTGAAGTTAATGAAAGCATGCTTCAATTCCATGATTGTTAGGAAATGAAAAGGCCATGCTGTGATAGATATCCCCCTTGACATATACCTCCAGTTGTACCAGTAGGGAGGGGACATGATTTAAATACTAGCTGGTTTCCAGTGGTTTTCCTGGGTTGGGAATGCACCGAGTATATTTTTAAGAGAAAGATATAATTGCAGGTATGACAGAAGCAGAACACAGAGGAATAAAACAGAAATAAGAAAATTGATGGCCTCTTCAGAACAGTTCAAATGTTAAAAACTGTGACTGGTGTGAATTTTTAAGGGGAATGGGACTAAGGGTCCTGTCGGTCCCTTTCCATCCACCCAGTGCCCCCTGCCAATTCCAGCCCTCCCTGCTGTGCCTCATCAGAGCTCTCTACCAGTGCTGCATTTTAGACAGCTGCGAGGCTGCATCTGTTCTCTGTTTTCTACACAATTAAGGCAAAGAGAAAAAATACAAATAAGACAAATTGCTCTGACATGAAATCCTGTGAAATGCTATAGCTGAAGTTTATGATTTTGTAGGAAGCTGGTGCAAGAATTTGTCTTTTTTTAAAAAAAAAATATGATTTTGCAGAGGTTTTCTATTACTATTTTAAAATTGGTGACCCATTTTTTTCTTGTAAATACACAAATGGCTTTCTGTCTTGCACAGATCACTTTTTGCTTTGGGGAGGAAGGTGTGAGAAAGAAATGAGGAAGGAGAAACACATGTCATACTAGACGCAGACAAGGCAAATCAGTAGCTAAACTGTAAGGGACTATAAGAAAAGACTGTGAGTCTTGCATTAATTGAGGTACAGCACACAGAAAGTACAGCTATCAACGCAAGACTCATTAAAATTTTCATTATTCTATTATTTATAGTTGCGACTGAAGGTCCCAGTCAAGAGCACAGACCAATGTGTACTCATAAAAGGAGGAGGGAAATTATATTACTACTATTAGATTTATAATGACACGGACTCTGAGCATGGTCAGGCTGGCACCACCAAGACAGCACCCTGACAGTGGGCTCCAGGGGCAGCAAAAATAAATGAATGGGACTCTGATGGTGGAATACACAGTCGCTTTGCAGAGAGAACATCCAAGCAAGAGTACTTTGCTCTGAGATGAGAAATGGTTAGTACAAGCCACATACAAGCCGGAGGATGACACGGCTGTGTACCTCGGTTTTTACAGTATTTTATAACACACTCATCACTTTCAGGCATCACAACAGAAGTGGATTTCAGGATGAAGAATAATGTGAATGGCTGGGATTAAAGCGGAAAGCCAGTGTAAAAGACTGGCAAAGGAGAATTACTGAAATAACTACTTGGAAAGAAGAGGAAAATAGATGTTTGGTTTATTTTACTGAGATATGATTTAATTTCTCAAAAAAAGAGTCCCACATGATTCTGAAATCTAATTGTTTCCTTCTCAGGTGGGAATGATGGATTTTGCTTTATGTATCTCAATATATCCTTCTTTCTTCTTTCCTTCTTTCCTCTCCAGGTTACCTGTGCGAATTTAACGAATGGAGGAAAAACAGAACTTCTAAAATCAGGAAGCTCCAAATCCACACTAAAGCATATATGGACAGAAAGTAGCAAAGACTTGTCCATCAGCCGACTGCTGTCACAGACTTTTCGTGGAAAGGAAAACGATACAGATTTGGACCTGCGTTATGACGCCCCAGAAACTTACTCTGAGCAAGATCTCTGGGACTGGCTGAGGAACTCCACAGACTTGCAAGAGCCTCGGCCCAGAGCAAAGAGACGGCCCATTGTCAAGACTGGGAAATTTAAGAAAATGTTTGGCTGGGGTGATTTTCATTCCAACATCAAGACTGTGAAGCTGAATCTGTTAATAACGGGGAAAATTGTTGACCATGGCAATGGGACGTTTAGTGTTTACTTCAGGCATAACTCCACTGGTCAAGGGAATGTATCTGTGAGCCTAGTGCCCCCTACAAAAATAGTGGAATTTGACTTGGCACAACAGACAGTGATTGATGCCAAAGATTCCAAGTCCTTTAACTGTCGGATCGAGTACGAGAAGGTTGACAAGGCTACCAAGAACACGCTCTGCAACTATGACCCTTCAAAAACCTGTTATCAGGAGCAGACCCAGAGCCACGTGTCATGGCTCTGCTCCAAGCCCTTTAAAGTAATCTGTATTTACATTTCCTTTTATAGTACAGATTATAAACTAGTACAGAAGGTGTGTCCTGATTACAACTACCACAGTGACACACCCTACTTTCCATCAGGGTGAGGACCAACACGTGTCTGAGACTGAAGCCTGGGGAATAAAAGAGGTCGTGTGACGGGGCTGTAACCTCAAGGAGGAAGGCCACATCTATTGCCTGGAATGTGTCTACCTGCTGCTGCTGATGTCAAATGGCTGCAAATATGTTAGTGGAAAACAATCTAATGTAATTTTTGCCCAGTCAGCTCCATGTATCAATCTAGTTGTAAATCACTCTGGATTTGAAATAAAACCATGCACATACACAGAGACGCACACTCTTTTCAGCTCACACCTACTGAGATTCCTGTTAAGAGAGCTTTCATTGTCTGATATCTAAGGTTTCAGGATAAACTATCATCAAGCATAATGGATTAACTAGACAGAGAACGGTTTCTAACGCAGACTGTTACGGAAATCTCTTTGAAAGTCCTTTGAGTACACGCCAATCAATAACCCCCACTCATGCATTCTACTGCTTGGAGTAGCTGTACTGGTAAATAATACTGTAGGAGTAAATACTTGTTAAAATGGGACAAATGTGTGTCTAGAGTTCAGTATTCCTTATTATATGAGCACAGCAAAGCATTGTGACTTTTTTTCCAGCATACAGTAGGCACATTCGAGGTGGTGTTAGGTGGCTCTTTTTCCATGGAGCAAGCCTGTTACTAGTAAAGATGGGCAAGCATTTGGAATTTACATGTGGGGCAGACATTCTGGTTTCATGTTTCTCTGACTGTTTAAGCTCTGATTCTTTTAAACCTGGTTGAGTTTAGGCCAGCTAAGCTACTTGAAAACTCTCCAACTGATCTCTAAGGAGGAAAATGCCTGGCGGAGAACATGTAAGTTATAAGTGGCTGTCTTATCTTTATTACAAAATATTGTAACAAATTCAATATCCTAGTCTTCATTTGTATGAATGGTTTGTATTGTACATAATTTAACCGGTGTTATTTGAGCTGCTTATTAATATTAACTTGTAATTGTCTCTCTGCTTGTTATTGGTTAAAAACAATCAAGGAAATGAGGAATCCATTTTATCAATGTAGCTGTAAACTCCATTAAAAGACAGAACTATGTACAAAGCATTTATTCAGCTTAAGTATCGTTGAAAGCTATACATATACAACATTACAGTCTGTCTGTATTTAGATATTTTATTTCCAGAGGAAAAAAATGAACTGTACATAAAAATAAAAAATCTTAAAGTTGAGTTTCAATATGTACTGTGTAGATAGTAGTTTAAATGGTTCTGACGAGCGGGTAACACTCCAGGTCTGACGTGGTTTTCAACCTTTTCTCTTTGCATATGTACATATATGCACATATATTTATAAATTTGTGTGTGTGTATGTTTGTGTGTGTATATATGTATGTGTGTGTGTGTGCAAATACATGTGGACATATATGTAGAATATACAAAAATTTCTCGGGCCCTATTCTTAGTGAGCAGATCTTAATACTTAAGGGTCTTGCTAACCTGGGTGGAAGCCTCCACTCAGATAAGAAATGAGAGGAGCCAGGTTTCGTTTAAAATGATTCATGATCATTTAGAAGCGGGGAAACGTGGACCTACTCCCTGTGTACCTTGGACTGCGTTTGCCTTAATTCCTTAATTCTAGCCTCCTCTGAGGCTCTGATCTCTCCTTATGGAATGAAGAGGTCCCTTTTTATGGTAGAAGGGAATTTTTTTCCTATAAACAATAAGCTCACAGCTTTTATATGTGTGTGTGTGTATATATATATATATTTTGTGTGCGTATGTTGGCATACCCCCAGCATCCAGATAACCAGCAACTGTAACAAGTCCATACCTAAAAGAAGGCTGCCCAAAATGGAACTCAGTATTTCATCTCATATAATTCAGAATTATAATCCCTGGCAATTCTTTCTTCTCCCTTTCACCCTCACCCCCCGGTTCTATGCTCCTGTGTCAAAGCTGTGAGTGCAGATATGGGTCAGCTTTCAAATATGTGCATCATCACCATCAGCTTCTCCAAAGTCCCAATAACCACTCCACTAATGCTTCAAGATGTGAGAAGTTTAAAACAACTTCTCCTTGTGGATCTGTCTTGCTGAAATATGCAGGATGTAAATGAGAATGAAACAACCAAATGGATAATGCTCTTGACAAGTAAATGTTTTTCCCATTGACAGACAAGCAGGAAAGGGGACTTCCATATTACTATTGCTTTGGCTTCTTTGAACAGATGTGCTTGTGGGAATTTCTTCATTATATATGGCATTTCCCTGGACAAAATTCTGACCTTGGACTCTGTGTAGGTTTGGAGAAAGAAATTGACCAAACCATACAGTCCAAATTCTGACCTTGTTCAGGAACATTCTGAGATACAAGTCAGGTTTTTCTTTTTTTTTTCTTTGAGAGGAATTGTGATTGTACTGGTAGTGTTTCCTCATTTGTGCTCTGTGGAAAGTAACTGTTCTGAATATAAACCATAAAGGAGTTTGTACTATAACCAAGAGTAAAATTTTGGCCTTATTAAAGTCAATGGGAATTTTGCTATTGAATTCAATACAAATTTCCATTAAATAATATGTAGAATTTCACTGTTATATATGATTAGTAATCTTTCTTAGCAATCTGTGTTATGATTGAGCATTACACACTTTGTGTTCTCATATTTCTGAAAAATGGATGTGAAGCACTGTTACTGGTAGAGTTTCATAATTTACTCTCTTTTTCCAAACTTCTCATAAGTGAAGCATATACATTCTGTTCGTATATATACATTTATCCATTTTTCAAGTAATAACAATATGAAAAGGAATTAGCATGCAATGGTTCTGATCCTTTTAATTGTAGTGGTTGGCAGTTTATCTGTTATTTTATCAGAGTCAGTCATTATTTTTTAGTCTTAAGTCTTTGGAGAACTTGCCATTCTTCATAAACATTCTTGAGTTTGAACTTGAAAGAGTTCTTCTGGTGGTCTGGTTATGAAAGAGTTGTCTAATATCAAAATATATGATGTGATATTTAGGTGCTAATTCATTGCTTTTCATTCAGTCTCTTTGGGGAATATTTTGTGTTTGCTAACTTTGTTAAAGAATGATTTTGGTTTCACCATTTAAAAAAAAAAAAGGGAATTTAATTAACATGAATGTGTTAAACAGTGTATGTATGAGTATCTGAGTCTCGCATATGAACGATGCCTTAATGGAGCGCTAGGCCAGGCAAAGGTTGCCTCACCATAACTCAATAGGTCTAGACATAATAAAGATGAATATCTTCAAAAATATATTTTTAGGATTAAAGAGAGATGAGATATTTATTTTTAAGAAATTAAGAGACTGTATTTTTCACTTTTTTTTTTAAAAACACTTCGGCATCTAAAACGTGGTTTTTTAATTCTTTTCACTACATAGAGAAGTTATAAATAGGGATATTTTAATGAAATAGAGTATTCCCGTTGCAAAAAAATGCATGGATCATGCACTTGAGCAAAGATTAAGCTTCCCTTGGGTGGGTCAGTGATAGAACCTGTGTGTCAGCTTCTGTGATTTTGGGAAAAGGAATCCAGGAAACAGGTGGTCTTACATTGCAAAAATCACTGGTGAAAGTTCTAAGAAGTAATGGAAAGCTGGAAGACTTTCACTTAGTTTTATCAAAATGCTTCAGAACGCAACAGAAAATATAAATTCTTCCTTCCTTATACAGTCACTCGTAAAGTTTTATTTTTCTCTTGTTTTCGCAAGTTTACATGGGTAGTAAGCAAACGAATAAATTTATCTTTACAAATATCTTGTCTTTCAGGTTACCCTTACTTAAAAGCTATGTCAGAAACTTGAAATTTACTGTACTATTTTACTAATGAACTAGGAAATATCCAAACTCCATTTACAGGAGAGCAGAATAGAGAATTATGGAGGAAAACAGGGATTACAAAATATCTGCCACTTTTACCACAAAACCAATCTAAAACTTAGGCATCTGAGATGAAGAATCGTTCTTCACCAGAACACACTGAAATATTTTCGATGCAAAGAACTCCCAGTTTTCAAACCAATGTACTGCAGAGTTCTTGCAAATCCTGCATTTATAAATTTGAGACATATTTTTTATGAAATTAACTAAAAAATATGCACAGATCTCAAAAAAGTACTAAATACTCAATGAAATACAAGCAGACATACTAAATGCTCAATGAAATCCAAGCGTTTCAAACCCTTTGCAAAACTTCTGATTCCAATGTATCAGCCTGGAATTCGTGAGAAGGGAAGCAACCGATTCATTTTATGCATATATTAAAACCCGTAAACTCTGATTATCATTTATGCTAAAATCATTTACCTCTGTTACCATTTTAATGTATGAGTATGAATACAATTTATTTTTTGACAGTGAAAGGAAAGACTATTGTCTACTAAAAAGTTTCTTTTTTTCTTCTTTTTTTTTAATAAAGGATGGGCAATATTTGACTGAAATTATGCTAAAATCTACAGCTTAATTTTCTAGATAAATTGGAGGAAGTCAGTATCTACGGATAAAGTAAAAAATTTTTGCTGATGTTTTTTGTGAAAGGAACCCTCATTAAAATCCAACAGTCACTTGTAAAGATAAAATGAATTGCAGAACTGTGCGTGGGAGTATTTGGTTTCCTGGGGTGGTACACATCTGACAGTACGATCTAATACATGTAGCATGACACTTCCAAAAGGATTGATGCATCCTATGGCTAAAAATAAAATCTTTTCATTGTTTTCTATAATCCCTGCTAATTAGCTAAACTATCATTATCTAAACTAACACGGAGATCAGTTTGTTTTTTACAGAAGTTTAGTTTCTCACTGGAATATGTCTACACGATTTTTTAATTTCTGTTTGAAAGGTACAGCTGGTGGACCTTTGCTTTAGCTTGGATTGATGTCCTGTGCGTATAATACATTTTTAAAATATTTTATCTTAGTTTGCTCTTGGGATAAAGAAAAAAATGTAGCTTTTGTAGGTGCTTTAGATCAGGAGCAAACCGATGACTCACTTGAACTTTAATCTAAGCGATCTATAGTCCCATTGTCAAAGATAGGCTTTGAGAAGATGGGAAAAGTATGAGATTTATTCCCAGCTCGAAGGGTACCTCAGCCAGGTAGCAAGTAGAGATATTACTATGAAGGAAGACTTTAGTGGTCTATGAAGTGAATTTTCTCCTGTCAACAGAAAATTAGAGGGACCAAAAGAATTGTATGAAGTGGAAACAGTTCGTACAAATCAGTGAAGGTATGGAAATCAGCCATTTCAAACAGCAAATCAGATACTTTGTGCAATATTCTATGGAACAGAATATTGCTGAGTTCCTGGGAAAAGCCTGAGGTACGTACAAGTCTGTTCATCAAGGAAAATAAGTAAAACCAGGGTTGGCAAAGGCAGAAACAACATGAGACCTTCAGTTCCTCATCTAGGTCACAGTGAATCTGAAATGAGATGCAAAAGCCTAATTAGAAAAATGAGGTTACTTATGGAACATGAACAAAAAGTCATATTAACTCTTACAGTATTCAACAGCTGTAGTTTATGAAGCATCTTTGAATTTTTTGGGTGGAAATAGAGTATTTTAATTAGTCCTAGACTAGAGAGATCTTGATCATAAAGCTGGAATTTTTTTGCTGGGAATTTTCAACAATTGCAGCATAATACTCTGGACTCCATTCTACTGGCTACATTTAGAATCTGGAATCTTGTTGCTAATGGTGAACAAAACCAGAAATAACAGAACTTGGCTGACAGAGATGGTAGTGATCTTGTGTTCATGACAGTTGTATTGGGCTTGATGACAGTTTGGGTTTTTTGGTTTTGTTTCCATTTCCATTTTCTTTTTTTGTTTAAATCTAGAGGTATAGGAAAGACATTGCCTAGCAATCATTCTTTTTAATCCTCACAGTGTGGAGTTTGTGCATAAACTGTCAGAAACGAACTGCTACATAGACGTGTGACATTAGGCACACTAGTCTTTATTTTGCTAATGACCTGTAGGTCATGCCCAGTTGATAATGCAGGCAGTCAGTAGCAACACAGCTTGTGTGTCAATGAGACTTTAACAAGGAAATTCCCAAATGAATCTTCCATGGCCCAGGAACAATTAATGAATACTTCTTGCTGATGAGCTTCAGTGAGTTAGCTGTAGCCCTTCAGACAACAGGAGTAATAATATCTATCGGATGTTTGACACAAACTTTGGACTTCTGTTCTCAAAAGCACTTTAGTATT